ACCCCATCATATGTAATTTGCTTACCCCTTATGTATTTTTTTTATTTATGAGTGTTTAAAGACCAGCAAGTTGATGGTGTCATCAGAGTCATATGAAACCCAGTGTCAGCACACTTGGTGGCCAAATGCAGAATTTCTTAATAATAAAGCAGGTTTTTATAGTCAACACTGTCCTTTAAATGGAACTGACAAGCCTGAATGTGGCTGTTAATGAATGTGAGCACAGTATCAGTCAGAGAATATCTTTCTTTGGAAACCGTGATGAGTGATATCAATAAAAAAGTTCTACAGTATCATCAGAAATGTGTATCTTGTAGGATTTGAGGTCCTCACGGTGGTGGTTGTGAAGAGTGCTGTCTTCTGAGATATAATGCTGTGTAGGCTGATGAGAGTGAGTGAGTGTTTCAGAGAACACATCGCCTTCATCTTCATGGTGAAAATTAAGTTGAGCAAGAAACCAGTGCGCAGGAGGTAGAAAGCATAGAGGAGGTTTGGAAAAATGAGAGGTTGTATAGAAACAGACCTTGGGAACTAGCCCAGTAGTTGCCACTGGCTCATGCAGAGAACCAGACTGAATGAATAGGAAACAGGAGAAGGGTGACTGGTTGTGCACATGTGTGAGCACCTTGAAACGTTGGCTGCCAGCCTTTCTGTGCTTATCTGGCCACAGGTTGGGTGTGGGAGGAAAATTGTATGCATGTGCTTATGGATTAGAAGAGCTGAAATGGAAGTGAGGCCAGGGAAGGAAGAAAAGACTAGGCAGAAATCGTATGAAGCGTCCCTGATGGGATTCTATATTTGGGATCCCCGCCGTGGCACATGAACCTGTCCATACTGCCCTTATTCGGGCACAGACCCATCTCTGGGCACTCGTGAGCCTTAAGCCTTTTGTTCTTTCCCAGCCTCCTTCCTCTGTACATGGGAAAACAATCCTTAAGTGGGTAAATATTTTCTGGCTCAGGACAGACGTTTGTGAACAGCAGAGCCTGTACCTACTTCGTGCTGGTTTCTTGCTTCACTTATTCTTTGACCTGAAGATGGAAGCATCGTGTTCCTCCAAAATGTTGGTTGACTTTCATTGGACTAGGCAGGTAACAAGCGTCTGGGTCCATGAGAAGAGGTGGAATTATTCACTATGTGAGCAGCTGTTTGGTCTGTCTGCTAGCTGAATCCACTGTACCATCCAATAAATGTTTGCTAAAGCATAATAATATCTCCACCGGTATTCAGATGTGCAGTGTCCGGTATATGCTGCTTGTCACATTAGGCTTTGATGTGGGCAGATGTTTGCTTTTCTTTTTTTTGACAAACTGTTATCTACACTCACATTTCAGAAGTGGCATTGTGGAGTCGGGGGTGGGGGATTGCTAAATTCATGCAGGTTTCATAGATACTGTGTTGTTTTGATGTTGGTACTCCCAACAAACAAGAACAATGCTGTGCTTGAACTGCCTCTTTCAGCTGCTGGACGCGGGGTAAGTACACAAGAAGTTCGAACTCTGGTGAGTGTTTTTCAACTTCAGCGTAACAGACTACAAAAAAGACTAAAACAGTGAAGAGACATAGGACAGTTCATAATAATTTCTTCTGTTTGGAGAAAAGCAAACAGTATGTTAGCAGTATTGATTATCTTGATATATTAGTATGTCTGTGCTACTAATCGCAAAGCATTTTCCAGTGACGTCAAGGACCATTCGTCGTTCAGTGAAATGTGTGTGATTATATGTTGTGTTAATTTTGAAACAGATCGTGCCGGACTGTAAAGGTACGTAACATGAATTTCTGAACATGGAAGGAATGTTTTTAAAAGTGACTTCAGGTAGTTTAATGGCTCAATTTTTTCAGAAATGGAGACAAAGAATATTGATTCATTCCTTTAGAACTTGCAATTGTTTTCCAAGGAACTCCACAGTTCCCTGCTTCTCAAGATTTGGAGGTCTCAAGATGAAGGATATACCTGAAGATCTTCACAAAAGGGTGGCATCCATATTGAGAACAGTTTGAAGGAAGATAATGTATCACCAGATCAGCAATGTGATTGTGTGTTGTGCGAGATGTGGTAAGGTGGTGAAGTTGGTGTGTTTGTATAGCCTGGCTATTTTCATTTGTAAGCTTCAGGAAAGTTGTTTCATTGGATGCCAAATGCTTTCAAAAGTAAGAAGCGGAATATTGTGTGAAGGCAGTTGCTGCAGGGGCCAAACACACAGGCTCCATACATACATCAAATTTCAGTATCTGGCTCACTTGATTCCTGTGTTCCAACAACCACAGGGGGGTTTAGCTTTCTTTCATTTTACAGTTCATAAACTGCATCAAACATAATGTAAGATACACAAGCCATTTAATTACCACTGGAGATGGAATTAATTTCATTAGTATGAATATACATAACTTTAAATGCAGATTTCCTGTTTGGAGTTAAGCTGCATTTTGTGCTGCCACTGTTTCATCTTGGCAAGCCTTACAGCCGCCAGACGCAGAAGGAAGATGTTGCCCTCTGTGTACAGTATGGCACCTGTAGTTAACCACGGGCACCACATCTGCAGCTTTACTCCAACTATGATGCCTGCATATGGGTTAAATAACCCGTTCCTGTTGGATGCCACCAAGCTCGAAACCCCCAACCCCATACTTCCATTTAAGTCCTGTATAGATTGGGGTGCATCCTCCTTTTTTGCCGTTCGCCTGAATATGGTGTCTGCGATATATGCCAAAATGTTGGAACAACATAAACACACAATGCAGCTGAAGCAGGGATGTCAGAATTACGTATTGGATGCAGACTGAGAGAACATAGCAACGAGACTGTGTATAGCATTGCCAAAGTTTGTCTTCCCCACAACGTTTCTTCGAAACAGTGTGCCATGAAAGAAGACTGGTAAAGACAAAAGGTGTTCCACTTGGGAGAGATAACCCTGGGAAAATGGTTAGTATTACTGGTCATGCCTGCGTTTGAGCCCAAGGCCACTTATTTCTCCTTTCCTTCCTCCATAAGAAAGTCCTGGGATCATTGCTAGGATGTGAGGTAAAGCCTGGCCTATCTTTGCCATTACTAGAATACTTTGAAAAATACAAAGTGTCTCCAGACATTACTAGATCATTACGGAATGATGATGATAAAGTAAACCTATCCATTTAACAGGCTGTGGAGGCTCATAGAGTTGTGAGATGTCGAGGTTCCCACATTTGCTTACGTGTTGGGTGCCTGTTACCTCCAAGAAGAACGTGGTAGCATGGTTGAGGCACAGTGCTACATGCCGGAAGGTCGCAGGTTCAATTCCCGATGAGTTCACTGGATTTTTCAGTTGACCTAATCCTTCCAGCCGCACCATGGCCCTGGGGTCGACTCAGCCTCAACAGAAATAATGATAGGGCAACGTGTAAATTAAATTGGAAAGGCATTTGGGAGAACAGCAGGAGGAGGTAGAAGTGTAGGTTGATTGAAGCTTAGAATAATATAGGTGAGGGGGGAGGAGGAGGAGAATGAGGGTGGGATGGATAAGAGATGGAAGAGAAATACTGAAGAAAGTAGGGAAATGATAATCGCCAATCAACTTTGGCTGGTGATGTAATTAACCACTGCGAATGGACTGCACTGGTTTCTGAAATGGCAGCGCAGAATTTCTTCATATGACTGTGAGTATCTTAATGTTCTTACTTCCATAAAAAATGCACTGGTTGCTGTTAGCCTCTGTTTTGTAGGAACGGCTTGTCACACTTTAATATCTTCCGTCTGGCCTTCAGATTTCAAGAAGGTATATGTGAGCATAGTGTGTTCTCCAGATGCAGTCTGTTTCAGTCCTGCTTAACAGGTGTACATGGGACTTGCTCTTCCAGTGAAGTGGTATGGCATGAAGAAATTCTGCCATCAGAATACAAAGTTTCGGTTATAGAAGAAACACCTGCAGATGTATGTATCGTATTTTAGCTAGAGGAAGCAGCATTTGTCACCTGGTTTATGGTTGTTACACTGTTGCAGTACATATTGCCAAGAGTGAAGTAAATCTCATAGTATCCCTGGGTGTTTTCCGTTATTAGACTGGTGATTCTGAGGATATCCCATGCCAGCTGGTTACAGTTAGTAATTCTGTTTGTATTTATAACAAGATGGTTTAGTAGTTTAACCAGTAGATATGGTTTTCCACCAGAATGGTGGAAGATGGGTGCGATAAACTAAAGATGCTGTCTCTCATTCACTTCCTTGTCTTTGACACCCTAACTTTAATTGTTGTATGACAAATTCGGGCCCTCACTGACCGTCGCTACCCCCCACAGCTGAACAAGGAGCCAGAAAGGCACAGGGCAGGCAGACCAGACCTCTACTACAAACCATTTGAACCAATAACAAACCTTTGTATGACTTCTCTTGCATAATGGAGCCCAAACTGCAAGATGATTGGAGTTTTTGTTGTGAAGATTTATATTGTGGTTTTCTGGTGTGCGATATGTAGTGTTGTATGGGGTTAACAGTGTTCCAGAGGAACATGCTACTTCCACCTTCAGCACAGAAAGCATTTACGCTGCAAAAGTGAAAGCACTGTGTTCCTCTGAAACCATATATCCACCTGCCAGACGGCACAGTGTCATAACCCACAAGATTGCATATGATTCAGAGTGTCAGATTTCAGTGGGTGGTCCCAAGTGTTATTTAGGCATAATTGTGAATAAAGTAGTCATGCCAGTAATCAAATCCAGACAGTCTGTGACATAACCATGATTCTGCTGAGCTTTCATGGCTGTATTTAGATTATTTGTGTAACATGAGATTTGTGTGGTGTGAAACTAATTTCCAACTCCTGTCAGGTCTACATGAGTCATGCCCTGTACTTGAGTATTGTTAGCTCTGCACTGAAGTTACTGACTTCAGGGAGGGTTTGAGGTGCAGCTTGGAACACAGGAGGAAGTGTGAGCATGTGGCAGTGGGAGGTAATTTGTTTTGTGGTTTACTGTAGTTTACGTGTTGCATGCACTTATTTGTGGCCCTGTGCTTTCTGTTGCAGAACAATACAGCCCATGATCCTGGACCAGAATTACATAGCTCTAAAGACGCAGGTCATCAAGGCAGAACGGAGAGTGCTCAAGGAACTGGGGTTCTGTGTCCATGTCAAACATCCTCACAAGGTTCGTTACATGTGCATGTTCTATAGTCTTCCCGTATGTCCATAAAACAATTTATTACATTTTTTAATAAAACTAAGGCATAGTGAGGTTATGTGCATTGGTCTTTCTATTTCAGAAACTGCTCAGCTGATTTCTGAATTTGGTATTGTTCACTGGACAGATGAATTTTATTTTGGTTCATACTTTTTCAGGATAACCATATTTTATATAAAATTTGAATATAAAGCGCCCTTGTTTATATACTACATAGTCCATCAGTAAAGCAACAAACTGGTCCTTTCTTACCCTTCACTTTTGACACAACATGTTTTGGCGCTAAATGGCCATCTTCAAGTGTCTTACTATGCAAAAACTGCTACACTTAACTGATATTGTCATGATTTAAAACGTCATACTCTTAGTCAGTTGGTATGTGCTAAAATAGCACACGCTGTAGTTCACTGAAATCAATAAAATCTATTAATTTCTTCTTAAATTTTGTAAAATTCTTGTTACACCTCAGAAGGTGTGTTGTCCACTTGTTTTGATCAGCATCCTTTACTTCAGATGTTTTATTGCAGCATCCTCTTTTTCTGTTCGTAAGGTCATTGTGTTGTGTCTGTAATCTTACAAGAGCCACATGTTAATATTGTTTTNTCAAGGTTGAAGAAAAACAACATGTAAGTCCTTTGGAATTTCATAACGTATATAATAATGATTATATTTTGCACTTCATGACAAAATACTCACAGTTGATTTTCATTTGTAAAACTTGCCCTTTTGTATATATGTAGAAAATTTTATTGTCTTTCAGGTTCTTTTTAGTTCATATTCCGATGTTGCATAGAACGGAAAATATGCATTTTTTTCTGAAACTTTGCAATGTTAAAGACTTAGGGCCATTTAAATTCCGGCCGTAGGGAGCTGCCGGCAATTTAAAAGTCCGTACGTTAAAGGTTAATATTGTTTTTTATGTTAGTACTAGTGTTATGTTTGTTTACTTTATACTCACTTTGCCCCTTGCTTGTGCGTTGTCTTCACTTGTGTAGATGTGGTGTGCTTGCTTCTGTATTTAAATGACCTGTGATTGTGGGGAGGGTGTATACTGTTATTTTGTGTAATTCTTCAAATATGGGATTATGTGTGTCAGTATTAGTGTCATTCATATGTAGATTTTTCCTACTGATTTCATAAATATGATTCTTTTCAAGTGTATTCAGATATTTTCCTTTCCTCCCTGTTGTTATAATTTCCATGGTATCTGTTATTGTGCCATGTGTGTGTCCGGTGTTCAATATGTGATTTGAAGACACAGGTCTAGTATTGTCAGTTCTGATGTCTTGAATGTGTTGTGAAGGATTATACAAAATAACAGTTATCCCCTCCCCACATTCCCCCTTTTCACAACCACAGCACATATAAATACAGAAGCAAGCACACCACATCTACACAAGTGAAGACAACGCACAAGCAAGGGGCAAAGTGAGTATAAAGTAAACATAACATAATACAGTCAACTCTCGATTATCCGGGATAATGGTGGGCATGGAAATCACGATTAACTGAAAACCCGGTTAAGACAAATGTTATTAAAAGTAGTACTGTAATACTGTACCTTCATAATAGTACTATAGGCCTACCTGTATTTAAATTTACTCAACCTCATTTTTATGTCATCTCATGGCCTATTTAATACTTTTTACATTATACTGAACTGTGAATTAGTTATTTCAATCACAGTGTTCAACAACATCCATCACTTTTTATGAATATTCACACCTAATACTTAAAAAAAATTAATATTGTCATTTGCTTTTTCGCGGCATTTTCCTTTTTACGGATATCCATATGAAGCCTACGTAATATTAGCTTGTCACTTAATAAACTGTTCTCTTCACTCTCAAGATAGTCTAGTAAGGATTCCAAATGATTAAGAACAGCACCATGTGATATTTTCTTACTAGCAGCACTGTCCACCTCTTCCTCATTCTCACTTTCTTCCCGCTCTTCTGGCTGCACCCCCACTGAACTTACGGTTTCGTCACTGCTTAACATTTCGAAGCCGGGCTCACATGAGTATCTGTTGAATACTTAACACGACACGCTTCCTTTTACACCCTGACATTTTGCTAACGCACTTGAAGATCGATACAAAGAGACGAACTGGGGCAGTGTATCTGTCCTTGAAACTTTCCACTTGCATTCTTTCACCCCTACCCTAAAACATTGTGTTAGCATAACGGGACCAAAAAATACAGAGCTCGGTTCACACTAGTGCGAAAATAGTGTTACAACTCACCATGTGATAGAAAAGTGAATGAATATTAATCAACATATAGGCCTCAAAAAAGCCCTGGTAGCCCCGGTTAAGCTGCAAACCGGTTTATCCGCCCCCGGATAATCGAGAGTTGACTGTATTAGTAATAACATCAAAAAAATATTAACCTTTAATGTACAGACTTTTAAATTGCCGGGAGCGCTCTGCAGCCAGAATTTTAAATGGCCCTAATTTTTTAACATTGCAGACTTTAAAACAATACAAATTTTGCATTCTGTGCAACATAGAAATACAAACTAAAAACTACCTGAAAGGCAATAAAATCAACATATACACAAAAAGCAGTTTTTACAAATTAAAATTAACTGATTATTTTGCCATGAAATGCAAAGTACATTCTTTATTATATATGTTATGAAATTCCAGAGGACTTACAGGTAGTTTTTTTTTTTTTCAACCTTGAGACTTGGTGATATTGTAAATATCACACTACATAGAATAATATTTTGTTCAGACTGTGCATGAGTTTGAACTGCGTCACTTCACAGTTTACGATACCTCACACTCTTACGCGCGTGCCACTTCTCGAAGCAGTCCACGACACACAGTGCAACATCACACTTTTTGCAATAGAAAATGGTGCTCCTGCTTTTGTTATTTAGCGAAACACGCGACAACGTCTTTGTTTCACTTTGGTTGGCCAGTGTTGTGAATGTTTCACCTCCAGTCAACTCACTTGGGCCCCAAATAACCTTGGCCTCCGCCAAGAAACACCACTGACCGTGATATTCGCCTTGTATGGTTAAAGAATCATCTTGGTGGAGGGGGGTGTCCAGTAAACTCTAATAAATTATGTTGATTGACAAAGCAACACACTCACCTGTTAGAAATACTCACAAAATAGTGATGCAAAGTAATTATAATACTAGTTGAAAAGGGTGACAGACCGACATTGATACCGAAAGTCACAGTGACGATGATGCCTTTTACTCACAAAGTAATACTGGCTCAGTAGGTTTATACCTCTTCCAGGACACAAAATACAAATGATATATAAAGAAATATACGAGTCTGACACTGACTTTTTTAGTGATAAAGAAATATATGACAATCCGACACTGACTTCCTAACTGATAATTCGCTCCTGAAAACAAATCCTTGAATACCTCACACTTCCTTGAAAACTCTAGAAGCACTAACATGCGAGGACAGATGAATATTTACTTCTCAGTTCTCAAAATAAAACTGGGCTCTATTTGGCTGACCAGGTCATAAACAGTCATATTTAAACGTAAATAGTATAGAAACCAGTACTGTGATAAACGATTTCATTGTTCAGAGCTAACAAATGAACCTCCGACATGAACTTGGATGTGTTTGTTTTCGTTTCAAACCCAAGATCAAACTGTCAGCACTCCCAAATAGAGCACGCCTCTATTCGGCCAACATGGGGTGTTGCTTGCTGCATGTATATATAACATTCGGCAGTTAGAGGTTAACATGTGGATCTTGCAGATGCAACACAACTGGCTTATGGACACAAAAAGAGGCTGCTACAGTAAAACATCTGAAGAAAAGGATACAGATCTAAACAAGTGGATGGCGCACCTTGTGAGGTGTAATAGGAATTTTACAAAATTTAAAGAAAGTTTTAATAGATTTTATTTTATTTAAATTAAGTGAACTACAGCGTGTGCTATTTTAGCAGATACCAATTGACTACGATTATGACGTTTTAAATGATGAAGCTTGCAGTCCCAAATGTGACGAATAGGCAATATTAGTACAGTGTGGCAGTTGTACCACAGTAAGACACCTGAAGTTGGCCATTTAGGGCTGAAACATGTTGTGTCAAAAGTGAAAGTGTAAGAAAGAAGGAACAGTTTGTTGCATTGTTGATGGACTGTGTAGTACATAAACAGTTTCAGATATAGTAATGCAACAGGATGCTTAAATACAGGATTGATAAAACTCCCTGCCATCTGTTCTTAGATGCAGACTGCCGGAAGATGTGTCACAGAATGTAAAGAGCAAAGATGAAAGACTGTATGCCATCATAATGTGGCAGTAAATTTGCATATTAGCGGCAGAACTCTTGGTATGGGAGGATTATAATGAACGTCTTCTGACAGGAAAGAAAAATTGTTCTTATCATATATGTTTCATTGATGTCCATGACTTTTATTTGAAACATTTTTCTAAGTGATGTATAACAAATTAAGCAAATGGGGCAAAGTTCTTGAGACACTGATAGTAACTCAGATTGTCAAGAACTTGTCTACCTTTTGTGGAAGCTGAAGGTCCCAGTCCAGAACCAGATCTAGTGTGTACTGTGACATTGCGTTTCTTTAAGATCAGTTGTAATGTTACCCTTCCATTTGTGTGGGTTGTTTCCAACTGGCTTCTTTCCTTGAGGGCTGTGAGTTGAGTGCAGTACAGAAGAATAGCATCTGACTAATACCTGCGGTGCAGTGAGCTTTCCAGCACTAGACGTGCACGTGGACAGGTGAGCCACAGGAGAAGCAGAAGTATATGAGTACTGAATGTTCATTGTGTCTGTTCTTTTTGCAGATAATTGTGCTGTACCTGCATGTGCTGGGGTTTGAGAAGCACCAAAACCTGATGCAGTTGGCGTGGTAGGTCACTTAGCTCTTTCAATTGCAGTGGTTACTGTGTGTACCACCAACTTTAGCAAAACTGCATTATTATTTAGATGAATTTCAAGCCTCAAAGGCAGTTTGTGTATGCTGTCAGGGTGTATATGTTCTCATGCAGAAAAGTTGTGTGTAATGTGTTGGTAACTGTGAAGTTATATTTTCTTGCTGATCTAAGATAATGCTCCCCTTGCTTCTGCACAGGAACTACATGAATGACTCGCTGCGGACGGACGTGTTTCTGCGCTACCAGCCCGAAACTGTTGCTTGTGCCTGTATCTATCTTACCTCAAGAAAGTTGAATATTTCATTGCCGAAGTCACCAGCTTGGTTCAGCGTCTTCGGTGTGTCTGAGGAGGACATCCAGGATGTGTGCTTCAGGATACTAAGGCTCTACAAGAGACCAAAGGTGAGTCACTAGCTGGATTATTTGTACCTGTTGGTGAGGCCTCACTGTACTTTTACTCATGATCAGATCTAACCCTGACTCTCATCCATGTTGAGTGAAAAGTCGAGTCAGTGAGTGGAAAAATTTTGAAGTCCATTTGTTAATATTCTTCCTTGTCCTCTCATTTTAATTTAGTTGCAGGTATCAGGCAGTAAATTTGTAAGTGGTATGGGTATAAGTAACTTTGTTATCATGATATGTTTCAAAGAAGCGAAAAAAGCCTGGAGAGTGGGCAGGCACTCTTTCCCTGCTCGAGAAACATCTGGCAAGTAGAATTTTCTAGTCTTGGCTGGTGAACTGCACCAACATCTATAGGTATATGGAAGAAGGGCTTTATCAGTTCCAGATAAAACCTAAAAATTATTCAAGAATTTTCTCTGCAAGACCAATTTTTTTTCACTGTAATCATAATTTTAGAACACCAGCCACTCTTTACAATCCTCTGAAGTGTACTGCTTGTAGCTTTTGATACCAGATTCTTTTTCATCGGGAATTTTTGATAATTCGTTGCATTAGAGAGATATCCTTCTGTGCCATGGGCAGAAAGCATTGGGGGAGGGGGAGAGATTTTGCTGACAGGTTGATGTATACTAGTGTTGACAGCCATTGTGATTCTGTTGGATTGTGTAGTTTGTGTGCTGATGTTCAAATGAAAATTAGTTTTCTGAAAATTATTGATATTCAAGACTGAGAAATCAGTGTTGAGGTTAATGTCAAAGTATTCCTTTCCTCAACTCCTCAAAATTTTGAGACCTACTTGTGATTAAACATTTGTTGATCCCTGTTTGTAATCATCTTTGAAGTGGTTCAGATCGGACACAGAAGAGACATCAGTGTGAACACAGAGTCCAGCAGAAATACACCGCCTGCTTTCTGATAGTAATATTGCACAAACACTACAGAGCAGCATTGTACACATCTCTGGGAGCCCATCCAAAAAGATAATGACAATGTTTATAATTGCAAAATATGGAGGCACTTATGTGACCACTAGCAGTTCCTCGTCCACAAACATAACTGCTTTGGACAGTGTGTATTGCCTCGAGTTCTACAAACGCAGCATTTCAAAGCTGGATCTCTCTTTCAACTTCAGGCTTGTGGGAGGAACGGCTCCTACTATGTTGGGCCCATTTGGAAATCACTAATCGAGGCTGACAAAAGCAGTCCATTTCTCAAGACACGGTGTTTGAAGAAACTGGAGACATTGCATTCATTGTAGCCTGCTATCATTAGAAGCATATACATGTCGTTTCCATATCATTTTTGAGATGGAAATGTATACTGTGGTAATTACCATTAATTGGTTTTGTAGCCAAATGCAGATGAACTGGATCGGCGGGTAGAGGATCTACGGCGTCACTACCAGGAGGCCCGTATGAAGGCCAGAGGGGCCTCTGGGTGTGGAGTGGGAGGCACTGGGGCCCAATCTGGCAATAACACACCTGGTGGAGGCAGCAATAGCCCCACCTCACCACATTCGCGATCTCGCCACAGCTCACCAACCCGCTGTAGCAAGGACAAACATCACAATAGTGGATCGCCTCGTTGGGGAGGAGGCTTTATCAGGCAAGGCATTCCCTTCATTTGGATATGAATGTACCCAGTTTTGTTTGCTCTGGCAGTCTGTGTCTCTGTATAGTGGATTGGGCAAAACGGTTATATGTTCTATTCTCTGTTTCAGTCGAAATAACCATGCCTCAGACAAACATCGGAGTCGGAGCAGATCTCGGACAGTTAGCCACAGCCCGCCTCCCAAACACAGCAAAAAGTCAAAGAAGAACAGGTGGGTTGTTAACTTCGCTGCACGTTGTCTGTTTTCTGGCAGCAGGCCATCTCCCGCTGTGTTGAGTAAACTGCTTAATCTTCCCTCAGTGTATGTATCTTTATTTGTCACACTAGTAGAAAGCCCCTCATGTTTCAGTGCCATGTTTTCCACAGATAACCTTTCCAGTGAACCACGCAGTGAGCGTGAGAAGTTCTGGGAGGATTACTTCATAGGATAGCTCCCACCAGCCCCCCCCCAGTGTCCTGACTTATAACAAACAACAAACTCCGTGGTTTTAGTCCACAGGCGACTATACTGACCCAGCAACTGCCGCTTGTGTTGGTGAAGTTAATGCCAACTTTAGCGGATAGAGGGTGTCACATGGTCAGCACAACAAATCCCCATGGCTTTTAATTTCGGTTTTATAGACTGGATCTGCTACATTTCCATTCAAGTAGCTCCTCAGTTATCCTCAAGAGGCTTGAGTGGACCCCATTCCAGACCCACTGCTACTCAGAAAATCTGATAGCACCGGGAAGCAAACCCGGACCTCTGGATCTGTTGCCAGGAACTCTGACCACAGAGACCTGACTTAATAGTGACAGAAATTGCTTTGTGCTCAGATTTCTTGCTCTAAACCCCACAGAAGGAAACCAGGCTCCACAACATGCTCATATATTTCTAGCCCAAACAATGTAATGTAATATTTCTGTATTTCCAGTTCACTTCTGTTAGTCTGAAAGAATGTGAATCTGTATGGTCGGATCAATTGTGGCATCAGTCAAGCCCAATTAATAAATCAAAATTTAAACAACCAATTAAATATGCCCATAATTGTGGACAGCTACAGCTTGTTACTTAAGTACATATTTTGTCAACATTAATTTTGCCAGACATGAACTCAAAATTCAGTAGTATTGCCATATTTATAATTACTGACTTATAAACAGCATTTGAAACATAATATATGCATACTTTCTGGTCTGTACAAGGAACTTTATCTTTACAGAACCAGGTCAATTTCAAGGTCACGATCACGATCGAGGTCACATGAGAGGAAGTCAAAGAAGTCTCACAAGAGGAGGAGCTACTCCAGGTCTCCCAGTATCTCACCACATAAAAACTCTCGCAAAGTTTCAAGGTGAGACGCATTACAAATTCTAAGTAACCAGCAATGATCTACCAGAGAACATTCCTCGAGGATTTTGTGTTCTGGGATATAACGCTGTGTAGCCCACTCTGAGTCAACCAGTGTTTCAGAGGAACATGTCACCTCCATCTTCAGGGTCAAACAATAAGCCAAGTATGTAGCAGGTAGCAAGTAGAGCTTGCTTTCTGCCTGCTTCGTGCTGGTTTCTTGCTTGGCTTACTCTTTGACCCTGAAGATGGAGTCAGCATGTTTCCTGGAATGTTGGTTGACTTTCAGCAGGCTATGCATTGGTATATGGCAGAAGTAATACAACTGTTCACACCCACACAGTCCCTTGGGGACTATACCAAAGACTGGTAAAATGTACTCCCATCTCCTGCTTTGGACTGGATGTGTTGGTAACATTTCCATGATCTTTCCATAAACCCTTCAGTTGTATAGAGGGTATGCGTGTATAATGGCGCGTGTCTACACAACAATAGACACCATTGTATCAGCATTTGTTTTATTTTGCTGTTGACACTACATGCTTTAGCCCTTATAATGGGCCATCGTCAGGCATACAGTGCTGCCAGTCCAAGTTCTTCAATTGCATCTGATTTCATTACGGATCCATATTATGCATTTGTGAATTTTAAATGCATAAATTGAATTTTCAATTAAAACATAAATACTTAGGTAGTAAAATTTAGTCTTAAAAATTAAAACTTGAAAATTAACACTAAAATTGTACAGAAATGAGATATTTTGTAATAAATCTCTTTAAAACTTTGTGACCGCCATATGTTGATGTGCTTTTCTGGTGGTAGAAGCATTTATAGTTCGGGGTGCCTGTGTATTGGGATCTCTCATAAATGAGACCATGTAGTTTTGACTTTGCTGTTGTCTTGTGGAGTCTACGCTCACAATTCTGTGTATCACCCAGCAGGTTGTTTACGAGTAGTGATGTATACCAGGTTTATGTGATATGTGTACAGGCCGCTCCCTGTGGTGATGATGATGATGATGTCATTATGTTGTAGCAGTTTGGTCTAGACTGTACAGTTTTATTTTATTCACCCTGAACTATGTTAAATATTAGACATGACATATTTTATGTGTCTACTGTGTTTTGTGGTTGAGGTGCTTTCCTGTTCAGTTGAAAGATCTCATTTTCTAATTAATTTTTAGAGACAAAAAATCGGCAGCTCATCTTTACTGGTTATGTACCCATATGCCTTGCTTGGTAGAAGCAGAAAATTTTTTCCATTGGCATGTGGTGCCATGACTTGGCAAATTTCTTTCCAGCAGTATATGCTGCTCTGATTTGGAAACACACACAGCTTAGAAAAGTCTTTTCAACAGCATGCGTGTTGTGACTTGAGAAGTTCTTTTCAGCCACATGTGGGACTGTGGCTCAGAAAGCATTGTCAGTTAACAAAACATACTCTGCACATACCTTAGTGCTTAATTTTTATAAGATTGTATTGCTAATATAGGATTGTATTGTTCCAGGGATAAAGGGCGTTACCGGTCTAGGTCACATAGTCATGATGGACGGCATGCTGTGGAAAGGTCACGCTCACAGAGCTACGACCGGTATGACAAATACTACACAAGTTCTGACAAGCTTAGCAGCAAGTCTCGCAGCAAACACTTATCACGGGGACTTGACGATGACAGGATACGGAGCAAAGAACGTAGATGAAACTGTGATGCCCATACTAGCAGAATATTTACTTCTGTTGGCCCCAGGGATTGAAGTCTTGAGTATCATGTATATTTGTTTGAATCACCCTGATTCATGAAAATTGTGTTCCGTGTTACGTGCAATACAAGTGTATGAGCCACAGTCTGGCCCGTGTATCAAGGTTATTCAGTTTTGTACAGGGGTGCTCTCTGTAGTGGAACTTCTATGGCAGATTTGAATACTGATCTGAGGTGAAAGGAAGTTCAATGCTCAGGTAAAAAGGGGGGACCCTGAAGTCAGATGTAGAATGAGTGAAGACTTTGCGTAGGAACTCAATCGAATGCATGCCTAGTCAACCCCATGTTATGATCCCTGGTACATGATCTTTACTGAACAGTTGGTCGTTATTAAACATTTAAAGCCTTATTACTTACGCCCGTGACTGGATATAGGAAATTATTTTTAAACTTTAGAGTGCCATTCTCTTGAGAACTGCAGATGAAAGAATATACCCGTTGAAAAATTTGTATAATTCAAATGACATCAATGTAAAAAAAAATGCCGAATATGTTTTCACCCAGTACAAGAATTAGTTGGCACGTCATTTCTGTTGCAGCAGACATTTCATCCTTTCCCTTTTGATCTGGAAGCTGGCTGAGCTTTTGTTTGTATCCACCCATAGTTAGGCATTATTTAATCCTTTCCTTTCAAGTACTTTATTTTTCTGTGCCAGTGAGTTATGGATTGGATAGATGTGCATGAAGCAGATCTGTTTCTGATCAATGTGTGTACTGAGAAAAGTGTAAAACATGAGGCTTTGCATTTGCTACTAGTTCAGGGAGAAACAAACCCCTTCTGGAAATGTGTCACAAGCTTTGATCTTCCTGAAGAGTGAAGTCTGCTGGGATGTGATACAGTACGGTAGAATGTTGCCATCATTTTAGAGTATAATCATCCTTGAAGATGGAGGCAGTATGTCCCTTCGAAATTGGTCACCATTCCACTAGACTGTGCAGCATCACATCCCAGTCTTAATATTCATCACAATCAGAATCTGAAATCTCACAAAATCTTCCTTGTTTCAAACATTTTAAAAACCAGCTTTGCTTCCTGCATTCTAGGAAACACTTTTCTTGATGGTTCATTCCCATGAACACATGCATATGTGTCTGTTCCTCGTACAATTTTCATAGGCATGTTGACTGTCTTGCCATGTTTTCAAGCATAACATAACTTTTCTTCCACGACCAGCTTAGTCTGTTCTGGCGCAAGCGAACAGGAACTCCGATACGGTGGTCTTTAACTCTTTGGTTATTTTATAAAGCACTAAAATAAAAGGAACAAGAATGAATGTCCTGGAAAGGTGTTTTGTCTTCATGACCATTTTTAACTTAAAATAAATGGGCTGTGGAACTGAATGATGATGTGTGATGATGCTGTGTAGTCAATAAAAAGAAGCCAGTGATTTTGAGAAACCTGTTGCCTCTATCTTCAAGATAAAACCCTGAAGATGAAGGGAGCAGGTCACAATATATGAGACTGTGTGGTCTCACATCCTAGAAGACAGCAATCATCCGTTTGTTATTTGCTGTATTTCATAGACTGAGGTTATGATATTCTGGGATGTAACATTATGTATTCTGATTGGACGATTCCAGCATTTTGGAGAAACCTGTTGCCTTCCTCTTTTACCCTCATGATGGAGGCTATATAAGTTCCTCCAAAATGTTGGCCATGGGGTGACATCCTAGAAAAGTTTACTCTTTATTCACCACTGTGAGAAACAGAGCTCATGTTTCACAGATCTCCACCACTGTGAGGGGGGGATAAGAGTAAGAGGGATTTTGTCCTTATCTGGGAGCAGAGCATACTGAAAAGAACTGGTTCTGATATTAAATGACAGGCATGAATGAAGGTTCCAGGAAGTACAGTGTTTGGGGCATTGTGTTCTGCCTTGAAGAGACAGAATTTACTAATGAATAAATACTCTTGTCATCCAGTAAATGGTTCATAATTTGTTAGGTTTCTTTTTGATGTGTCCAGTTTTGATATGCTCAAAACAGTGCGGTAACAAGAGATCACACTTAGTTTGAATGTGTGCAGAGATGTTGTTCCATTATGACTGGAACAGGAAGCACATCTTTTAGTCAGGTTGCTAGGATTCCAGTTGTGTGAGTTCNCCTTTTTTTGGTCGGGTTCTTAGTGTCCAGGTGTGTGAAGTTCCTATCCCCCCCCCCCAGAGCATCAGTTTGTTGGCCTTGCAGAAGGCTCATGCCACCAAGTTTACTGTCATTTGGTGATTTCATTCTGACATCTCTTCTAGTAGTCTGTATATAGGAAGAACTTAGTGGCAGGAGTTATGTATTGTTTCCATACCAAAGTGAATATTTTGTTCATTCCTATTTATAGCTGATAGGAAGATTGGGAATGAAAAGGACTGGAAAGGGTTAACATTATTGAGCTAGAAATTTAACAAGTTGACATATACATTTTACCCACACACACACACACAAACTCCTCTCTGGTCTAGTGATCGAAGTACCTGGTTCGATTCCCAGCGCTACCAGATTTTCCTGAAGTAGTGGGTCTGGAACGGGATCCACCTAGCCTTGTGAGGATAATTGAGGAGCTATTTCAAGGAAATGGTGCTCCAGTCTGAAACAGATTAATCGCCAGATTCATTGTGCTGACCACGTGACACACTATCTGCTGAAGTTGGCACTAACTTCGCCGACAAGCGGCGGTGGTGGTTCGGTCAGTGTAGTTCATTTGCAGACTACAGACCACGGAGTTCAGGAATAATGGGTATGAATAGTGAAACTGATGAAAATTTAGAACTGAAATTATTAACTTTGTGACTTCAAAATTTAACAGTAAATGAAGGGAAACTTGAAACTTAGGAGCAATAAATTGGGGTTCTGTTGCATACTGTAGTGTTAGGAAATTAATTTTTGTTCCTTAAATGAACTCATTGGTTCAGTGATTCCTGGTTACCCCTGAACAGGGCTTCCAGATACTGAGACTTAACCTTTTGGATAAAATAACACAAATTTTTCATAGGTCCCTGCTGCCTCCATAATCAGGGATTGGAGACAGCAGGTTTCTTTAGAGTGATAAGTCAGCAATCTTTAATGTTCATTTCTGTGAGAACCTCAAAATCTGTGGTCTTTTGATTTTTTACTCTTTGTGGTCTAGTGGTCAGAGTTCCTGGCTACAGGCCACAGGTCCTGGCACTACCAGATTTTTCTGAGTAGTAGTGGGTCTGGAACGGGGTCCACTCAGCCTCATGAGGATAATTGAGGAGCTCTTTCAAGGAAGTATCGGCTCCGGTCTAGAAAACCGAAATAAATGGCCATGGGAATTTGTTGCGCTGACCACATGACACCCTCTATCTCCTAAAATTGGCACTAACTTCGCCGACAAGCAGCGGCCACTCGGTTTGTATAGTTCGCTTGTGGACTAAAACCATGGAGATTGTTTTTTTACTGAGGTATTCCACAAATTTAATTTTTGTCACAAGAGAAGGTTTGTGGACCACTGGATTTGCTGACTGGTTCATGGTGAGTGCTGAGTGGGGCCCATAGTGATGACACTTTTTTACTTTAGAAGGAAGCATCTGGTGAGATGACATGAGATATAAAAAAACCGCCAACTTGTGCAGTACATGTATTCAGTGTGATTAAAAATTTATGGTCGTTCTTGTTACACCGTTGATTTCGGTGCCTTAATTTTCATTGAAGAGTATGTAACTCAACTTTAGTATCCATTTTGGACATTTATGAATCCTAATTTTTTGTTTTTGACAAATAATTTTATTGTTTATAGTCTCCATAAGCAAATCTGAATAGTGGTATGATATAACTTCAGCCTGAATTCATGTGAGAAATAAAAAAGCAGATTGGCAGTCAAACAGTTTGTTATGAAAATGAAAAGTGCTATGAAGTCTTTTTGGCCATAGTTGTAGATTAAAAAATAGGGGATTCTGTTGCAAGTCTCCCAAGGACAAGGAGAGTGTTGTGATGGGGAAGGAACACTGTGTAATGGAGTAACAGTTTCTTGTGAACTTCCCAACACGCTGCTAGTGCTCATCACCTCATCTCAGCCACCCTGTTAACAAAAGCATTTCTATTGATTCTAGCTGGTGTTTTTGTTGCAGAACTAATTCTACAGCCTTGTGTTCATGTACCTATCGCAATTGGGTGCACAGTAGCTTGCATTCTTGATAAGGGAGGACCAACATTTAAATTTTGACCAAGACATAAGCTATGTTGACTTTGGTCCCCCCCCCCAGTCCCTCCAGGCAAATACCAGAGAGTCTCAAATTAGGCCACTACCACTTCCATATCCTTCACATTTAATTATTCATTAACTGTCCTGTTGTAAATAAATCATACATAAGTGTGAGTAACAACTATGTATGTTCATTTTCCAGGATCTGTTAATATTAATTTAAGAGTTCTCCCCCTCCAGATATGAGTTGGAAATGTTTGAAATAAGTTTAATGAGAATGCAAGTTTCGATATTTTGCAACTCCCCACCCTCCAGTTAGTGGAGATGCCTTTCTCAGTGCAAATATGCTATTAGTTCCACAGTTGTAAGGGGCTCCACTCCAGTCCCATTCCTTCACTTGTTGCAGTGGTCTGCAACGGTTCCTTATTTGAATATCCATATAACTATCCCACACTACCCTGTTTTTAGTGCCATCATTACTGATTTTGTATGCAGTCTCCAGCTGCCACATTTTGAGAGCACTCTATGAAGTGGAAGATGTAATGTTCCCATTAAATATTTGTACAAATAACTTGTATTGTTTTATATAATGTAAAGTAATTCAATATTTTGTAAAATACAGTTAGAAAATCCATAAATATTGATGAAACCGAATAGTGTATCTGAGTTACTTCTGTTAGCCATACCTGATCATTTTCTTCAGCGACTGTTTTTAGGAAACGTACTTCGCCACTTAATGTGAAGTGCACAGTAGTGGATGCCATCAACATTCCCGTGTTTTGGTTCAGTTCTCTCTCAGTATCCACTGTACATAGTTCTGAGCTATTTTAGTGCCCAACATATTTCCTTCTTACTGTGCTGGGATGCCGCTTTCACTTCCATTCATTTTTGTGTGTGTGCTGAAGTTCAGTCTATTACACTGAGTCAGTGGAGTTTTTGTATGTGAATAATCAAGTTGCATTTAAGAGGAAGAGCACTTTAAGTGCACTTGTCAACATGTTTTGAACATCATCCTTTTGCAGGTTAAGTACTGCAGGCAGCAGCATGTACATCCAAAACATTTGTAGACACTAGACGCACAAGACGGACCAGCATCTCATCCCAGACAGCCTCCCGATTATGCACTTCTGCAATAACACCCTGGGAGATCATACTCTTTATGAGTATATCAGAGTTCATGGTTATTGTACTTTGGCCTGTGTACAAGTGTTTGGAAGTCGGTATTGGCTACTGTAAGTTAAGTTAGATTTCATCCTCATCAGAATAAATTATATTCATAGGCCTAAGCCAAGGGTGTGGAACATGTCACAACACAAATACAGTACTTGTTTCCAATAAAAGTAAAAAGTAAAACTATCACTATAACAGGCCAGAGTACCATATGGTTGTGAGATGTCAAGGCTCCCACATTTTCTAGATGGTTGGCTTACAGACAGCAGTGAGATTGGCAACCTTATGTGCCAGCCACCCCTTACCCCCCAGGAAGATCCCTGGTACTCATTTCTGTTAGAGGTTGAGTCACCCCCCTGGGTCATAGTGCAGCTGGAAGAGTTTGGTGAATTGAAAAATCCTAAGATAAATACAAATGTAAAATGTAGCAGCTATTTCTATAGTTACAGACATCTCATATAATACAGAATTATATCAAAGTACCGTCACTATTTTATACTTAGAATTTTTAAGATAAATTATTCTACAGAGTAGGAATGAAATGGTAGACACTATTAATGCTGGCTTAAATTATGTGTGATTTTAGGATGAAGATTATTAAATATAACTTAAACATCTTTCTGATATATGCTGAGGTTACTGGTTGAGATAATCTGTTAGCTGTCTTCATGTCATGATTTTTCCCTATATTCTGGTGATGAGACAGAAACATATACCTAGTTTTCTCTGTGTTTACTTCTAGACCAACCTCCTTACTAGCATCAATTAGTTTCTCTTTTTTATGATGTATATATAGTGGCGTGTTAAATGTCGTCCTTCGCTGAACAACTGGAAATTGTTGAGACCGTTGGATAGGAATATCCGTAACAACGAGTGTTCACTGCGTAACAACGGTCGGTAATCACCCCTCCACGCTAGGCTGTGACGTCACGCAACAGGGGAATCCGTGCAGCGACTGTTGCTAGACAATCAGTAAACGCGTTTTTTGTGTGGTCAGGGCTACATAACGAGAGTACTCGTCAGTATTGACTCAGTATTGAATATTCAGTCGAATTCTAGCAGTTACGAGTTCTTGAGTTGTATCGAGTGAATGGAGTCAAGACAGTTGAAGGCTGGAAGTGACTACAGCAGCAGAAGTGATTCGGACAATGAAATTGTGAATTATGTAAGTGGATAAAAGTGCAATAAATCGCTAGATCCAAGACCGGCGTGAAGTTATTTGTCGCCTTACATACGGCCAACACGCGACAATATATATATATTATTTATTATCTCCCAGCAGATTGACATCAGCATAGACCAACAGCTCATGTTTCCCATTTAATTTCAGTCCCACCTGGTTTTCCTGAACCTTCCTAATGGCATATTCCGAAGAGAAGTTGGAAAACAGTTGTAATAAACATCTCCTCCTTTTAGACCATCATAGATAGATTATCAGACAAATATTTACCTACATGGATTTTACGTTTTGTTTGAACATATTTTAATCAACCTAATTGAATCATAGACTTTCTTGAAGTCTATAAATACATGATACTGCCTCATTGTACTCCCATTTTTTCTTCAGTATCTGATGAATACAAAAACTCTGAGAACTACTTACATCAAACACCACACTAATGATCGCGAATAGTTTCATCTATATATGGACTTAACCTTGAAAGTATGATATTAAATACAATTCTGTATGAAGTTCAATGCAGTGATATTCCACAATAATTAAGGTAGTCGGTTTTATCGCTCTTGTTGAAAATTGGTACAATAGGCCCCTTCCACTGGTCAGGCAATTCTTCCTTATTCCAAACAGAATTAACGAGTTTATGGATATCAGACCGTAATGTTTCACCTCCCATTTGAATCAGTTCTGCCGGCATTTGATAATTAGCTGGCGATATATACCTTTTCAACTTTGCAACACGAATTTCAAATTCAAAAAGACTACGATCGGATACTAACGGCTCAGCTGTATGCACTTCTATCTGTTCAATGTCACTGACCCTGTGGACATTCAATAACTGAGGGAAGTAGTTCTTTCACATATTCAAAATATTGCTGGATTACTTCAACGACTTCGACTGCTTCCATCGCTTCAATGACTTCAATTGACTGCCATGCTTTCTAGCGCTGCCATCTTTCTAGCTTTACCACCAAAGATGATGTATATATATTTGACTGTTACCTCTGCAACAAGCAGCAACAAGTAACGTAACCTAGCGTTTTATTTCCGTTTCCTGTTATATTTTGTCTGGGTTTATGTAGGCGAAGCTAACGTCGGAAATCATGCCTGCAGTAAGTCTGTTGATGTGCTTTGTGTGTAATATATAATGATATGTATCATAGCGGGAGCATATTTCATTAAATAATGGTACTGTGACTAGGGCACGATATATGGAATTTATTCTTGCTGGTTTATAAGGCGTGTTGTGTTTGCACTATGGAAGAGGAGGACATGTTTTGTAATCAATATTTAATACTTGTAGTGTTGTAAATTAATTCCCTGCCGTGAACCAGGAAGATATAATATCATGTGAAATATTCATTGAAATGTAGTATATAATGCGTAGTAGGATTACCGGGCTTTTGGTGGATATAAATAGCATACATCTTCAGTGCTGCTAGGAGTCGGTGCTACCAACTGTCAAATTGAAGATGCATGTTATTTGAATGAATTTTAGTGATCTTAATTTGGAATATTATATTTTAGCCAGTGGTTGCCAAGAAGCCAAAGAAGCAGCAGCATATAAGGGCTAAGGGTCAAAAGAAGAAGAAAATATCCCTAAAATTTACAGTCGACTGCACACATCCTGTAGAGGACAACATAATGGACGTTGCCAGCTTTGTAAGTTTTGTTACAACTTTTGGAATTCGTATAATAAACAAAGTATTGACTTATTTGCCTACAGACTACGAGTCATTCATTCATAATATAATTATTATATAGTTCTGTAATTGGTGTTATGTTCTTGTAGAAGTATTTTAATTATAGAAATTGTATACATAACTAATAACATTTATCTTATGATGGCTTGTTGCAGACATATATGTATATTATGAAATGTATGTCTTGCTATTGCTTATGATACATGTAGTATATTCTGTGACAAGTTCTATACATTGTATGTAGTCTTGCACCAATGATCGATCTTTGAATGCAATACAGTAAAATTAAAAATTAAAATAATTGCTACAACAGTAACACTTGTACAAGTCACATCATTAAATACATCATTTTTAAAATCATTTTGCCTAAATGCCTAAAGGATTAGAATTTGTCAACAATAAATAATTAATATTGACGTGGTTAAACCTTCAATTAAAATATAACACACTATCAAAACCAGATAAATAATCAAATTAGTTACAATATATAAATTGAAATGCAAGTTGATTTAAAAAATGCCTATTATACTAATTTTGTTAACCATGTGAGTTTATTGAGAGAATTTTAAGAGTATTGCAGTAAATCATAAATCCTACATATGACCATGTCAGTCAGCGTTCGCATTAAGATACTACAAGCAATCATTTGTTATCAATTTCACTTGCTGAATAGATGTTTTGCTATGTCTACTACTGTCCCTCTAAGAGAAATTCATACAGTGTATAGAATGGATGATCTAGTAAATATACTCATAGCTCATGTTTAAAGTTTTTACATCCATCTGCTTTTCTTAACTTCAAGGGCAGTTTTTTATGCAATGTACTCGTAGTACCCATATTGATAACACTTTTCAAGTTGATTTGTTACAATTTGGCACATGAACATCATCTTTCATTATAGAATTATAGTCATATAAATCTGAGTTTCTTGTAGAGTATAAATTATATTTCTGAAAATAGCACAGCACCCCAAAGATATACAAAGCGGTAACAGATAAAATCTTTAATTCTTTAAAAATAGGGCTGCTTGATGTTCTTTTATTTACACCTTTCATTGAACAAAGTATCCTGCTATTTACACTTTCTCCACCCCAAAAAATCAAACCATGACTTACCAAGGATTGAAATTTGGCAAGTATATATTCCTAAGTATATGGAAACTCACTACATCCTTCAAGGATTTAATAATGTAACATGTCTTATTCAGTTTTAGACACAAGGTCTGAATATGTGAGCTCCATTTTAGATTATTTGTTACATTGATACCTAAAAATCTGAACTGTGATGTGTAATTAATTTTGTTATTTTTCAAAGTAATAACTGGCTCTGAAATGTCATACGGTTTATTTGATTGGCATAGCATTGCTTTGGTCTTATCAGTATTTATAAGCAAAACCAAGATTGTAGCTGAATCATCACTCTTTATTTTTTCTTGGAGAATAATTTTATTCTTATCTGTTACCAGTATATTGGCATAATCTTCAAAAAGAAACACTTCTCCATTTGATATATAATGGTAAATTATTTATATATAATAAAAATTGGAGTAGGCCCAAAATAGACCCTTGAGGTATTCGAAGTTTTGTATTCCTCAATGTAGAATTATACCTATTCAGAGAATATTTATTGTCATTAGAGGTTATTTCTGCNTATATTGGTATAATCTGCAAAAAGAACCACTTCTCCATTTGATGTGTGATGGAGTAAATCATTTATAATAATAAAAATTGGAGTGGACCCAAATAGACCCTTGGGGTATTTCGAGTTTTACATTCCTCAGTGTAGAATTGTACCTGTTCACAGAATACCTATTGTCATTAGAGGTTATTCCTACATACTGAGAACGCAGTGAGAGATAAAATATTAACCAAATCTGTTATACACTTTTTTTTTTTTTTTGAGAATATAGATATAACAGATATAGGTCTGTAATTAATAATTTCNCCAGAAGACTGCTTTCTTCATACTAATTTCTTGTCTATTACCCTTTTTATAAACAGGTCTAATTTTTGCAGTTTTCAATAAATCTGGAAATAAACCCTGATTTATGAATTCATTAAATATGAAATGAAGTGTTTTTATACATGTTTTTTACTAGAATATCGGGGATTTCATCAAATCCTGCAGAAGCTTTGCCTTTTAATTTGGATACTACTGTAACCATTTCTTCTTCAGAAATCAGAAAGAAACAAATAAAGTTTGGGTTGCAGTCCACTACTTTTTATAATGATCTACCATGACCTTTACTCCTCTTTTTCTCCAGTAGTTCTTCTACCTTATCAATAAAATAAGAATTTAATGTGTCTGCCACCTTCTGAGTGTGAGTTATTTTCTTTAAATTATTTTGTAAATAACCAAATATCCTGATATGATTTCCCTGAACTTCCCATTTTTTATGAACTGCCACATCATTTTAGTTGGGTTTGAAGCACTTACTATTTGTCTGTCATTATGTCTTTTTTTAGCTTCTGAGATAACTTGTTTATAAATTCTGTGATATCTGTTAATATATTTATTTTTTATTGCTGTTGGGGTGGGACTAAGTCCCTTGAACTGCGGCCACTTCTGGCCTGTTGCACCAGCCCCAGACGATACGTGAGGGTGATTGTGGAGCAGTTGGTGGAATGAAGATTGGCAGGGGAAACCGAAGTACTCAGAGAAAATCTGCCCCAACGCCAATTTGTCCACCACAAATCCTACTTGACCAGACCAGGGATCGAACCCCGGGCTGCCGCGGTGGGAAACCAGCGACTAACCGCTTGAGCTATGGCGCGGACATCTGTTAATATAACTCAGTGCATCCCTTGACAGTTACATCCTATACTTTAGATTATTTAAAACCTTCATTTTCTGACATGCAACTTTTATTCCTCTAGAAATCCATGAATTATTCTTAATATCTCTCTTCATTGTTAGTTTCAATGGGAATGCTCTACTAAAATAATATAAAAAACTTATTTATAAACAGTTGATACAGTTCATTTACATTCTTTTCCAAACAAATTTCCTCCCATCATTCATTATTTAACATGGCTGTGAACTGAATTACGTTCTCTTTAGAGAACTTTCTTTGCAGTACCTTTTTTAACTCTGTATTTCGTGGTCTATATACACCCATAAGATCTGAGCCGGATGGTCAGAAAAACCCATGTTTTGAATCTCTATGTAGTTCTTATTAAACTGTCTATTTGTAACCATGACATCTGTCAAAGATTCCGAACTACTGGTAACTCTTGTTTGTACAGTAACGTATTTATTAAATAATAAGATTGTATTTTAGCGTCCTGTTGCAATGATTCGTATCCATAATGTAATTGTAAATTATATTATAGACGGTTAATATGTACACAGTATGAAATAATAAGATATCAGGATATTTTCTAGTGCCCGTACCTGCTGGTGCAGTATCTGTTGGATGTCATGTTGCATAAGTTACAAGGGCCATTTACCTGCGGAATGTAAAAGCTCTGTAGCTGGTGCAGTTAGTAGCGACATATGCATATTACCATACCTATCACTGTATGTCTAAGGTTATAATTTGGTGACATTGATTATGTCATCTGTGGCATAGAATTAATTTCATACCCCTCACTGCACTGTACAGTAGATTTTCTTCTTGTGTTGATACATGGCAGCAGTAGTTACACTTTCAAATCCTTGATCAGGAAATTTTCTTCTGCCAGTACTTACGCTAGGCATGAAGGTTTGAATTCTGGTATTCACAGAATTTTTTATAAATGGTAGCTCTGTTAATTCATTGGGTATTTACATATTAATAAGGAACCCGAATAACTCTAAATGTTACTGCCATATGAACACTGCCAGCCTTAGAAGTTTACTTGCAAAAACAAGACCTGAGAGGCAAATCTTAAAATATGTTGCGAACTAGAAGTCCACAAGGTGAGGCCTTTGCTTTTGTTTTCATAAAGTGCTACAGATGACAGCATTGATGTGGCGGACAACCTGGCAGTGAAGTTTTGAAGTTATTTGGTCACCCATTAATCTTTTAAATATCCTTTGGTATCTCCAAGATGATCCCCATAAAATTGTCAATCCATGGTCTTAGAGTGGGAATGATTTTCAGGTCAAATACATTTCTGTAATAAATACAAACCTTACTGATTTTCAACATCAGCATCGTGGCTATAAAATAAAGGTAATATTATTATGCCTGTGTTTAACCCGTTGCCGTGGTTCGTCGTGTATGTTTCGTCAGGGATTTAAATCGTCTGGGGGGGTTCGACGTGTATGTTTCGTCCAGCTGCACACGTATGTTATAACGCCCATAATAATTGATGGTTTTGCTGTAGATTGTTAGATTTTTCACTGGCCTGTTGTCAGGAGGACTGTATTTAATGACACACGCGTTTAAGAGCGCTAAGTCGTCGTTACATATGCCTGTCTTGCAGCAACGTTCCTGTGGCTATTGCGAGCTGTTTCTGTTATGAATGATGTGTTTTGTTTGCTCTGAAGCTATAAACACCAGAGACTGATATGTGCTGGTGTTTATAATATCATATTGCCCTGAGCTGGCTATTCAATTGGAATTCTTAGAAGAGGGATGTACAAAAGTTTATGCCTGCAAAATCGATTGCTTTCGCACAGTACATAGCAC